CATCAGCGACTGTGTCATGCTGAAACCACTCACACTTCAAGAAATTGAAGACTTCATCACACACTTATGGCCGGTGTGAGAGGAGATGACTAGCAGGCGGTCCTGACAGCTCCATGCATATAATGGAGAGCGATCAGGGTCATGGGGCAGCGACAGCTAACAATTGTGGTGGAAAAAAATATAATAATAATCCATCCATCCATCCATTTTTCCACCGCTTATCCGGGGTCGGGTCACGGGGGCAGCAGCTTTAGGAGGGAAGCCCAGACTTCCCTCTCCCCAGCCACTTCTTCGAGCTCTTCCTGGCGGATCCCGAGGCATTCCCAGGCCAGCTGGGTGACATAGTCTCTCCAGCGTGTCCTGGGTCGTCCCCGGGGTCTCCTGCCAGTGGGACATGCCCGGAACACCTCACCAGGGAGGCGTCCAGGAGGCATCCTAATTAGATGCCCGAGCCACCTCATCTGGCTCCTCTCGATGTGGAGGAGAAGCGGCTCTACTCTGAGCCCCTCCCGGATGACCGAGCTTCTCACCTTATCTCTAAGGGAGAGCCCGGACACCCTGCGGAGAAAACTCATTTCGGCCGCTTGTATCCGGGATCTCGTCCTTTCGGTCACGACCCATAGCTCGTGACCATAGATGAGGGTTGGGATGTAGATCGACTGGTAAATTGAGATATATTGATACATATCTATTGAATAATAATTTGAAGGCTAATTCCCACTGATAAATTTACATTCTATATTTATTTTACTGTATGTTCGTTAATTGGGCAAAGTTTGAGGGTGCAGACAAATTATCGATCAGGCAGTTTTTGTGTCACGCAACAAGCTCAAGCTCCTTTCCGCTTTTGAAAATGTGTACAGCTTTTTTTTTCAGCTTTATTTAAATATATATTGGTGGATAAACACTTTGTGGCCTTGAACAACTCTTAGAAGCTATCACAAAAAGCGTATCCATTTTCATTTGTGTTGACAAGTTTCTTCAGGATGTGAAATTCAGTGCTGACAGCACAACACACATCCTTAATTCTTTGAATAAGAACAAAGTCCAGGAAAGGTGTAAATTATAAATCTCGCTCTGTGTGCTGTCTTGATTGACAGAGAAAGCGAAAGGAAACCTGGAGGTTGTGTGTGTGTGTGTGTGTGTGTGTGTGTGTGTGTGTGTGAGTGAAAATAAAGTCTGGAAGAACAAAAATAAATAATTCAAGTGAAACCTTGATGCAACTTATTTGGACCCTAAAAAAGTAGAATGTTCCCACCTCACCATAAACATTGTGTTCAAAGTGATATGAACTCTGTCTGACTTTTTCACCTGCTCTCTACTTCCTCACTCTGTGGTAAACAAACGGAAATGTGTCAAGAGCAAAGACGAAAACATAACTGTGGAAATGCGCCCCTGCATTTGGGACGATGCAACCTCTAAATACTGAGGTACAACTCAATTCAACCCCAATATAACCTAAAAAAACTTGCCGAAGGAGCTAAGCACTGCCCCTTTGGCAGGGCAACTGTGCACAACCACCAAGCCGGTAAGTCATTGCCAGCTGGAGTGATGAGACACATTTGAATCTTGGATGTTCGAACATTTTACTTGGTCATGTTTTAGTCATGACCAGGTACAGAACATTTTTCTGAGAAAGCCTTCAATGGTTTTTTTTAGCATAAGGCTGTTTGAGAGTTTTAAGAACACATACAAACAAGCACAAACATGGCTACATGGTTGGCCCTTAATGAACAATTACAGATAAGATGGGGTTTTAATGCAGATGTAGCCAAGCTCGGGTAATATGATGCCTTCTTGCCGATAATGCCCTCTCTATGCATGTGTATGCACAAAATATGTGCGTGGTCAGAAACAGACACCAAGGCCACTAGAAAGTCAGTTATGGCTAAGAATGAAAACAATAAAATAGCAAATTCGCACATCTCTGAATTTTGATCATTACAGCAAATAATTCAACGGATATAATAAGTGAACCCTGAATAATTCATAAATGATTTGTTTACTGTTGTAATTTCTAGACGGAAATAGTATGATATTCAAAAGGATGTACTGATGACATAAAATGATGTTAAATCTCTGAGAACAGTAGCAGTAACAAAAACAAAACCTCCACTTTGAGGGACACAGAGAGAAAGCAATGGAAATTGAGCAGAAGCGATAAATGGGGAAGTCAACTCAAGCATTTTCTTTACAATGTGTTGTATGCTGCCCCACTAGCCTAAACATGGTGTTCTGATTCATGTTGCATTTTTGTGATATGAACTAACCAGCAACATTTCTCAATGCACGCATTTTGTCACTTGCTGTCGACTCAAAAAGATCATCACAGCCCTGCAGGTAGCATCCAATTACCACTCTGCTTGCGAATGTCACATGACCAAACTCAGAAAACAGGTGAGCCGTGACTTTTTGACTTTGTCAGTAACTTCTATTAAAACAAAACAAAATAAAAATGTTACCAATTATAAAATGCTCTGGTGAAAATTATGACCTTTGTGTTGTTAGGGTCAGTTGTGACCCGGTTTAGTTGTAGCATTGCACACCAGGGTGAGTGTTTGCGAAGGTAGCACATGCGCGTTCACGTCAAGGTTCGTCAGTGTTCAAGGTCGTGAATCGTTCTCCAGACATTCGCCAACAGTTTTAATGTTTTTTTTCTTGTCACAAGTACAGGCGACAAGAAATGTACAGGCAAACGTCCGGCGAACATTTGCAACCTTGAACGAACGCTGACGAGAACGAAAAAAACGTATGCCTTTCGTGGAATACGACCTTGAGTACCCATTGGTGAGTATTTCAATGCTAACGATGATAATTTGCATGATCGTCAGGGTGTCCCAACAACTGGTTCTGGACCACTGAGTGGGTGACTTGCAGAGTACCCATCCCCAGTTTACAGCAAAAACAAAAAGGGCATGCTGTCAAAAGAAAGGCCCAAGGGGCCACAACAAAACATTAAAAACAATCTTTTCATGGACAGGGAAAACTAAAAAGGTAACCAAGAGGTAAGAAACAAATTGTAAGATAAATAAGAATGTTTCAGGTGTTTTATGGCTCATTTAAGATATGAGTCAAATCCGGGCCATTAATATCAGCGATAGTAACAGAAAGCGAACACAAGGACAAGGTAATTTATATTCCACAATCGTGGTATTAATCAGAATGCCGCATTTATACTAGTGTGGCCGCATATACCATATTGTAAAGAATTTTGGGGGGTTAACTTCCCCTTTAAGCTTGGTAGCTCACTAGAGTACTGTAACTTGAAGTAATGGAGACAGCTATTATAATGAGATCTGGGGTGAGCCGTGGAATTCTATAGCTAAACTGAGGTCCATAGCTTTAGAATTAAAGTATTGTGACTGGGATGTGGAAAGAACAGTTGTCGAGTTATTAAACGCGTGTTTTAGAATACCAGTGAATCATTAATTTGTGCTGCAGATGCATGATGAAAAGAGACTACAACCACATTTATAATACCCAGAGAATGACAAATAGGACCTCGCAGTTGCAGCAGCGGACAAACAGTGAAGCGAGTGCTCAATGATGAAGACAGACTTTTGGTTATAGTCTGCCCTCTACAGGACACCGAAATAATGCAAATAATGCATAATGTCACGTTTAACTGAAGCCTCTTAAGTCGAAGTCTCTTTTTAAAATAATTTTTTTTTCTTTTTTTAAACAGAATCATCACTGACGCAGTGTCAGAGCCTTATCCGACCATGGTTGCTCACAGTCCCCATTCTCAATCATTTCTATACTACAAATATTTTTCTCATCAGATAACTTTCACACAGTGATTATTAAAAAAAATCAAAACACCCCGTCAAAACATTCACATATTCAGTTTTTTTTTTTTTTTTTGCGTGATCAGAATCAATTATTGGTATGTGCTCAATTAGTACAATTTTGCATGAATGAAACATTTTTCCACCTTAACCACAGACGACTTGTAGATTTTTTTGCCCCCACAATGAAGCATTTCAACTGTATTTTACGGATATTCTTCATAGATGGCGCCACCACATTTTATTGGCGTGTGCAGACATCTTGTAAATGGTATCCCTGGTATGAATGAGCCAGCAATTCGGTGGATGAATTTGAATTGACTCAGCCCCACAGGACATTCAATTAAATTTGAATTACAGGACGTGGAAAAGAATTTGATGCAATTCAGAGAAACTCATTTACATCATATATCAACTGTGCTCCAAACAAAATGTCCAAAATAAAGATATTCTTTCTTAAGTTTTCACTATACTTACAATAATATTTGCATAATATTCCTGTGCATAGCTTATACAGTAATACTGTAGAATCATTGTTCAATACACTTAAATTTGAATCAAGAATTTCTTTGAATATCAATTCTACTTGAGGCAATTCGAATTTCAATTTGAATTCCACTTCCTGTTTTACCACCTCAAGTCAAATTTAAACTCAATTTTGAATTTCGTACAGCCCTGGAATGAGCACCTACATTGCACAATAATTAGAGTAGATGCCGCCTGTGAATGTGTTTGCAAATTGGTTCAGATGACATGAAATATACAAAGTAGCAGTTGCAAATAATGTATGGAAGCTGAGCAAAACAAAACAAAAAACTAAAACAACCCCCCCCCCCCACACACACACACACACACTTTTAAGTATGTTTATGTCTCACTTACGGATCTTTGGTCTTCATTTTGGATTATTTTATCATTAGAGTCATCCATGCCCAAAGATGTACACTCTGTCTGCAAAAGGAATACACAGCAAACATGCAAAAGTCTGCATTCAAGCCATGCACTACCTGGCGAAGATATTGCAGCAAGTATACATTTTAAAAAGTAAAACAAATTGTAAAACATGACAATCTTGCAGCACTCAATGTTTACCAATGAATTACAATGTTCAGTCTCACCTTGGATTTCCTCTTTCCAAACTGGAAAAAACCCAAAAGGCCTTTCTTCGACCCCCTGTCCAAACTGTTAGTGCCAGAGCAGATGGTATCTGGGAAAATAAACACACCATAACATCATCATCAAATATCAGATGACACTATGGTGCCCCAGAACAGCCTTAAGACGGATAAAGGGTTAAAAAAAAACTAATTGAAAAAAAAAATGAAACTCAGTTCATCAATTTATATGAAAACAGGTGCCATTAGTCTGAAAAAATGATCCCACAATTTCAAATGAAATGACTGAAAACTAACTTACAAGCATAGCTACAGTGCAGCATTATCATCAACAGAGGGTGCTACAGGTTTATTATTTCGACTGGTTTCTAAGCACGCAAACCTCTAAAAAAAGCAAGATGACTGACTACACTTTGTACCAATATATATATTCTTCCCAGAGTGAGATGTCAACGATAAGAAATAATTTGTAATTGAAAGCCAGTGATAATGGAAAGCAACATTCTCTACACCACCAGTGATTCCCAACTAGGGTACCATGGCACAAGGGATCATCAGGGTTTCCATGGGAAATTATCCAATTTCACTTCATTCGTGCATAAATTATTTACTAATTACAAATACTGTATCTTTGTTCATCCATCTACATGAGCAATGCATAGTGACAGGCAAAATAATAAATGCTCTTCCATTATATGGCAAATGGTACAACGATCCGAATTTCCAGCTATTGCCATTCATACAACACAATCATGCATGTTTGTTTTAAGGTTTGACATGAGATTAGTCAAGAGTAAAACGGGTGCCTTGGTTCAAATAAAGTTGGGAAACACTGCTTTACAGTCTACACAAAAGAACACAGCCAGGTTGACGAGCAAGCAGCATTTTGTTAGGATGGATTAATAGCCAGTTCCAGTTGACTAATACCTGAAGAGTTTAACGATGGAGTAGAAGCCATTTTAGGCTGCAGAACTAGGAAAAAGAAATGAACAAATACAATTAACTATATTCAGCTTTTGTGGTGAATTCGCACAGCTATCTAGTTATTGCCTGTGACTCATTAAACAGTTATCTTCATTTAGGCTCTCCTGGGATGTTTGCGAACCGCACAAAACAGGATATTTCTCAGAAAAGTGGGCCTTTCAATATGTTTTTGTTTTTTGTTTTTTTTTTAAAAAGAAAGCATAAAAATAAATTCCCCCCAAAAACCGACAAGAGGACAGATAAAAGTGATCAACTTTGGTATTTGTACAGTTGACAATTATTTCCAGAATCACTTAAATATGGAGTTTGCTTTGGCATGAGCCAAGGACCCATTTGACTAAATGATAATTGGGGTCCAGATCTGGATACATATTGTGCTGATGCAACTGACAAATGTCTGCATGTTCAATCTTGGTTTAAATAAATAAATAAAGATTCAAATAGGTCAGAAACAAACAAAAGAAATGGTCAGGGTTGTCAAGATTTACCTAGACTCTGAATATGAACATAGAGCTCCTTAATTCCCAGCTGTGTTAAAGACTGATCCAGCGGTAACTTTTGGCGACTGATGCTGTCCTTCAGGAACTGGACACATGTAGGGTCAAACTCGCACTTTTCACAGATGACCGGTATCAGGGCCTGGAGTGGTACCAATGGGTTGACGCGTACCACTGCCTTCTGGCTGCCATGATAGTTCACCATCAAACGCACTGTTTTCTGATGTAGAAAGAAGAGAGTATGTAAAAAATTATACATTGAATTTGAACACAAAGAAGTCAGGATTTATTGGGGTTGATAGTCATTAATTTTATACACATATATATATTTTTTAATGCACAATCTACTTGCAGTGGCTATCCCGCAACAATCATCAGAGAATGAAAAATGTGCCAATGCTTGATGAATTATTCTATTTTTATAACCAGTATGACATACATATATTTGTTTGAAATAAATTTACTATACATACATACACATGTATGAAAGAAAATTATGATCGGGCAGCGAGTCTGGTGCAGTAACTGCATGATACGCTGTACAAAGTAGATCTACATTATTTGTCGGTTGAGGCTTCTGCAACCATCAACTAAGTGCTGTTTCATTTTAGAGATCTTAATGGATTTCAATAATTATCTTGTGCAAAGTCAAATGTGATCATTCACTCAAGGCAGTCAGATTAGCAATACAGTACCAATGTATATTCAAATATTGCACCATGAATTACTGGTCATTATGACAGCAAAGAGGAGACTGAGGTAGTGTCAGTCTCTGGCTTTAAACCAATAGAGGTTCCCATGGGAGTGAGAACAACTGAGTCTTGAGAGGGGTAGAGAAATAATGCATGGTAATCAAAGACAGAGCACTCATAAAATATTCAAACTGTGGGTAAAGAGGCATTGTGAAAAAAGGGGGGGAGGGGAGGGGGAGCGAAAGACAGAGACAGAGAGATTAGCTGAGAAGTATGTAATAACACAAACACAAAAAAACGAATGAAATTAAAAAAACACCCTGCAACAACAATCTATCTTACCATGGAGCCTTACAGGACTTGCTTTCTGCCAGTGATCAGAAGCAAAAGGTGGATTTGGGGGAGATTAACAGAGGGCTTTAACACCACGAGCCACAGGTGGTAAAAGCAAGAAAGTTCATTTTCTCAACTAATTGTGTTGTACAATTACTATAATCATATTTATAAAGAGCCAGATGAAAACTTGAACATATAAAAATAAAAGTTAGTCCATTGAAAACAGCAAAAGACAAAGAAATTATAGCTTTGCACATGAGACATCACCCCACATTTGGAATTCAACAATTTTCTTGACTAATTCACCTCAGGGACTTTCGGTGCCAGTCTGCGCACCACTTTCTCTTCGCAGGCTTTCTCCTTGATGAGGACACCGGCCACATTGAGGGAGCCCAGCAGCAGGTTGGGCTTGAATGCCAAGGAGTGGCCTTCAGGCGACAGTAGTTCCAGGGTGTGCAGTGCTGGATTAAGATGGTAGCGGCTACACAGGTCAACCAGCAAGTCCATCAGCGGTTTACTGAGGGAGGTGAAACAAGAGTGAAGGAAGGGAGGGGAGGAAATGTTAAAAGTGAAAGAGAGGGAAGAAGAGGGTGGTGAGAAGGAATGGAGGGAGGTAGGAAGGACCACGGAAGAAATGATGAGAGAAGATTGGATTACGAAAGCCGTCTATCTTTAGTACTAGTATATAGCAATTCCTTGAAACAAAACAGACACTTTCACCCGAGTGTATGATTTTCAGTAACAGTGCATGTCCTTTCAATCGTAAGAACCTGGATTTGTTAGTTTCTGTTGCATCCAAGCAGGAGCGTAGGCACACATTTTTCAGTGTGTGTTTCCATCGTTCTTTATCAAACCATCCACAGTCAATGTTTCAGGAAATAAAATTCATATATATCCAGAATAAGCTCATCACACTCATAATGAAGCAGAACAAATTCTTCACTATTCGAAATGTTTTTTTTTCCCCTTTGGTTTGTCCCTGCTTGTATTATTAGTGTGTGTGTGTGTGTGTGTGTGTGTGTGTGTGTGTGTGTGTGTGTGTGTGTGTGTGTGTGTGTGTGTGTGTGTGTGTGTGTGTGTGCGTGTGTGCGTGTGTGTGTGTGCGGTTGGGAAAAGTGTATTTTATTTCATCAAACCATGACTGTGGATGGTACAATGGCTTCTAGGCCAAGAAGTTTGCTTGCTATAGTGTGAAAGTAATTAATTTGATTGAAGTTGACTGTAAGAATGTAATGTTCTTTACTTAAACAGATACATAGCTTGCATTCATGTGAATGCAAATATGCAGTAAATATGAACAGAAAAAGTTGTGACGGAGTATCAAGGAATCTAAGAGTACTGCATTCATGTGAAAATCCCAGACACTAACATTTTCCCCGACACCTAGGGCCTCAGACTGACAAGGGGTCGATGGCCATGTCCACCCCATTGCTCTGCCCATGCATACAAGCAAATCTACATCTTGATTGCATGATTCACCTTGAATATCTGTTTTGGAACCTTATAAGCAAAAGGAGATACACCCTTTGTTAGCTACTGTCACTCCTAACTTGAGAGCTTCTGCTTCAAAAATACTATACAGTACCCTTAAAGGAGACAAGAATTATTGTGGATTTTTTTTTCTTCATAATTTAAAACAGTTCCCAGATGTCTTGACATGCCTGTGACAAGATTTTGTCAAAACACCCTATGGATCAAGAATTATAAAACCCTCTCTATTTTTTATCGTGGTGAAATTCGCTCTTTTGAGGGAGACAGCCTCGCTCTCTATACGAGATAAGAGCCTTGACACATGGGACCATATATTATTCAGTATACATTGTGCCATTTGAGGTTTTTTTTTTTTTTGCACATGTCACTTGACGTTGTACGCATACGCGCCACATCACAGATGTGTTGTGTTCACAATAGAAGTCGCATGTGTTTTTGTAATCTGAACGAGTACATAAAAAAAATCAGGATTCAACAAAAAGTACAAACTGGGCAAAACATCCTGCAATGCAGTGTGAATGTAGCCTTATTAGCATCTTGGCAAGATGAAACCACTGATCAGATGTTAGAAGTGTCACAAGAGCAGTCACCGTTGACTTGGTATATTTGTTCACCCAAAAAGCTATTTTTCCTCAGATTATGTGAGAAGCGGCTAAAGTTTGTCAAATTTAGCAATGTTCTACTGCTGATTACGAAAGAACCGAAAAAGAAGGTCAAACTTTTTTCCTGATGAAAAAAAGCAACTCGTCTTTCATTTGGTCGATTCATTGTATACATCTTAAATAAGCAGTTCAAATGCTATAAAATGGCTGGCACTCTAGGGGTTGTCTTTTCTGAAAATGGCTGGCATTGAATGAGTTAATCGTGTTCCAAATGCATTGTAGCAGATCGCTGGCGCACCCACGATGCAGTGGGGACCAACGTCACTGCTCTATACCGCAGTGTTGTACAGCTCGGTAAGTCAGCCTTTTATAATGTGGGATTTTGAATTGCATGGAGGACAGACACACGGTAGTTTCATCAAAATCTTTCAGTGAACTGATTTTTCTTTTTTTTGCAACGATAAATGTCTTGTAAATTTGACACACCAAATAGAAGAGTGCGTTGAACAACTATGCATAATTTGAATTAAAAAAAAAATCTAAGTCTATAAAATCAGGCTACAAAATTGTGTAAAAATCAAGCCATTGCCTCCATTCTCAGACGCTGTGGGCATGTCCACTGAATATGCTGACAATACGTCCGCTAAAACGTTAATTGTCAGTTAAATCCCACTACTGCAATTAGCATTGTATCCAATGTAAAAATCTAATTAGGAGGTTCACCTTCAAATCTGATTAATGTGGACAATAATCATAACATTGGAACATGGCAACTTTCACTTAAAGACAGAGGTGGACATTAACACCTGTCTGTCGGTACCGACGGAAGGTGCATCAATCTGTCACTGATGGACTCCCATTTTCGCTGACGGACTGATGACTATGACTTCAAAACACTGTCGGAATAAGCACAGAGGGAACAGATTTTCAGCCGTCCCTCGGACCACCACAAACCAGAAAAAAAAAGAAAAGGGGCATTTTGGTGACAAGCAGCAGTAGGAAGATCAGTCAAAGGATAAGAATTTCTATTTTTTTGTGTGAAAGTGGTCCAAACTGTTTCTATATGAATACAAATGTGTGCTGTTACCCTTTTAAACAGTTTTATACTAAAGGTCCAAAAGCAGCGGTGACGATATGTACATCAGTGATGAATGAAGCATGTTAAAATTAACGAAGATAGAATGACCAAATGAGCCGGCTCGAAATGACGACAGTCTTTCGGGGTCTGTCCGCCGTTGATGAATGACGTAAGTTCACTGATGCGCCCAGCACTGCTTATTGGTGAGGACATAATGTGAGTTCCAAGTCCCAATCGCCAAACTACGTCACTAGGCAGCTAAAGTTCACGTAAAATGGACCCATGCCGAACAACACTTTAATGCTATATCTCCACAATTCAGTCTTACATTACACTGAGTCTTTGCATGTTTTCAGCAATTATAAACACATCAAATATTTCACAGAGGCCGCATTTAACGCAGTCAGTGGTCAATGCAAGCCTTATTCTGTACCAGGGTAAAATCCATTATGTCCTACTGGAAAACAAATCAACCCACTCGCGGCAGAGAGGGAGTTAACAGCTCAGCTTCCATCTGTTCACTCTCAGGGACAAAGCCTCTGCTGAGACTGGGAACAGGACCTTTAAAAAGGCCCCACTGATGACCGCAAATGAAGACAACATCAAGGACAACCAGCAGCAGGAGCAAAATGATCTTAAAATAGTGCAGATTCATGTAGGTATGCAAGATTTTACAGTTTTTAATTTTAAAAAAATGATTTATACTAAACACTGTTATAATTCATGTTAAAAATAAAATAGTGTCTTTCTCACCTCCCATCTTCAGTTATATATGTCTGGTATCCCTGCGGTAGTGTCAACTCAAAATCCACAGTGGGCCTCATGATGTTCTCTTTGGATTCCATGCCCAGTGTCCCGCCCGCATCAGATACATTGTTTGCAAAAATGTGACGAGGGGCCACTGGTGGGGGTGGGGCCCGAGCCTTCATTCTCCTCCTAAGTGGCAAAGTGAATAGAATTAAAATTTCAAAGGTCATTAAAATTGTCACAATAGACATTATACAAGAATAAATAAATACATAGATAGGTAACTAATAAAAATTGTGGTGACAGTAAGTCCGATCCTTGATCCTTCTGGAACACAAAAAAAAAAAAAAAATAACAGGGAGATACCAACATCCACAACAAACTCATAAATGGCATATTTTTGCCCCGCTGCATGCTTGCAACACAATTGCTTCACTTATGTCATGTAAGATATAGGGATGGCCAATTAATCAAAAAGTAAGCATGATTTCAATATTGACTTCTTTCAATCATAAAAACATAATCGAAGAACGCTTAATGTGCCAAACCGTGTGTTAAGTTCCTACAATATGAATGCACCATGTTGGTTATGCGGCAAGCATACGATGGTGTGTGTGATTCTGCCGTTCCTGAGCTTTCTTTGGGCTGTTGACTGTAAAACTGAATGCATAACCAAACCAATGACACACATCGTATATTTAAAAAATATGTTTCATTTGAAAAACAATCCCATTGATATGCGAATGAGATTTGGAATAAACATTCAGGAATGATTGATATTCCTTCCAATAATCAGTATTTACACACAAACATTGGAGGGACACAGACAAACGTACCGAAAAAGCATGGGTCATGTTTACATGCAGTCAATTTACCCTTTTCAAAACCAGAAGATTAGCAAAATTTTGGTTGAACAAGGCCACGTAAACACCCACAAAAACCTGAATATGCTCATATTCTCTTTTTTAAAAACCTAAATAGGACCCTTGGGGTACTCCTTTTCAAACCTGAATATTTGGTCATATAAACATGCATCACATTCTCTCCATTGAAAGGAACATTAATTTGCGTTTTGCGCATACTCGATCCGCAAGGAATCTTTGTCTTTTGGGTACAGGAACAACTTGCATGTGGCGTTTAGTGCACAACCCACCAGAAATGCACAAGCAGAGATAACCAAACCTGGTGAAACTCAGACGTAGTACAGCACCACATTTTTGGGAGCGAGGAGGAAAACAACTGCTTCATTAGTGTGGTGAAAGACATGAATGTTTTTATTGACAGAAGAAAGTATCAAAATAGCGGAAGAAAGTATCAAAATAGCGATGCATAAAGTTACGTGTAACTGGATTTGTACGAATGCTAGACCATATAAAGTGCCGCTGGAAGACGCTATTCAATACTGCTGGTGGGTCAGTAAGTCAAGTCAGCTTTATTGTCACATATGCTCTATGTGGAACATACAGCACAGATGACATTTATTTCCTCTCAACCACAGTGCAACATGCAGTGCATTGAAAACACACACAGCTAAAAGTAAGGGCAGCGAAACAACTGAACTGCACAAAAAAGACAGACATAAATATATAAATATAAACAAATAAAACAATAAATAGCAATCAACAAACAACAGACAACCAAGGGCACTTGTGATTATTGCACAAACAAATGTTATCGACCCCGGACTGTTCATTATCTAACGGGCTGCCGCTGTTTTTTTTTATGACACCTACTTATGTGCGTCGCAATTTCAAAACTGATATCCCAATTGATTACAATTGCCATATGTACATGAGTAACAGCGTGCTCATGCACGTAACCGGGTTATTCCCAATGTTTTGGAAACCAGAATGTTGACGGCATTTAAACATTGTCATAGATTCTTCTGAATCTTTGAAAAAAACAGTTCGATTAATAATCCTAATGTTAAGTGTGTACACCGTGCATGCGCGGCACGACACTGCCACTAAGAAGCCACCACATGCGCAGCAGGAGCACATGGCATTTATTTGTGTTTAGGTTTTAATTTTGGATAATGTTTGGATATTATTTTACTTCATTACTTATTTTCGTGTTGTTCTATCAAGCAATATTTAAAGGTGAGTTTATTAAAGGATTCCTCGATTTTTAGTTTTCATACCAGCGTATATTTCCACATGATATGGCACAAAATACGATACCCAAGGTCCCAGGTTAAACTAGGGAGTGCCAAAACTTCTCAAACTAACAATAGAACAACAAAATAAAATGAATATGGTAATGAGATACGTGAGTTGCTTATTCCTGGTTTGTGTAAAGATGTTATGCAGTAAAGGTTAAGATGCAGCAGAATGAAAATGCAAGAGGCTGGAATTGCACATATTTGATATTCAGGTAATTTAGTAATCGACATAAAAAATAAGAGCGTTCAAGAATAAAGTATTCAATGAGCAGTGATGAATTACCAATCGGGCTGATAGTTTTGGTAGCAGAATAAATTCTGATATCAATGAATAATAATTTTTAATAATCAAGACTTCAATACCAAAAATAATCTTGATTTCCACCCCATAACTGCCCAGCCCTACAGTCAAGAACATCAGAGATGATCCTTTCACAGGTGTCAAAGTCCGGTCCTCGAGGGCGGATGTCCTCCATGTTTTTGTTTTCCATCTCTCCCTGCTGCAACACACCTGATCCAAATGATCAGCTCATCAGCAAGCTCTATAAGAGCCTGATAGTGATCCTGATCATTAGAATTAGGTGTGTTGCAGCAGGGAGACATGGAAAAACATGCAGGACACCGGTCCCCGAGGACCGGACTTTGACACCTGTGCTTTAGGTTGTCAAGATGATGCAAGCATTGATAGTTAATCGTTACACTAACATTACATGCTTTATAAAAAAAAAAATTAAAAAAAAACACTACAGCAAAAAAGGAGTAACACTTATTACACCATACAGTCAAACACTTAATACCACCAAAATTGTGACAACTATGTCCGAGCATTTCAGTTTGAAACTGTCAATGTAGCTCATGTAAAGGTGTAGAATGAGCCAGAACATATTTAGTGTGCTGTTGAAAATCATAAACCTGTACTTCCCGCTGATTTTCCAGAAACAAAACATTAACGCTATTGTATAACTCCACATACCTCATCCCAGTCTCAACACAAGATGGATAACAATAGGAAAACATTCCACTTACGTCAAGAGTCCTTGTGTCGATTAAATGTTCCACAATTGTTGACTACCCAACTGTTTATATTTCCAGTTCCAAGGATTCTTCACTCGCATGACGTGTGTGTGTGTGTCAGTCAAGGTATTTCTCTTCAGCAAAAAGAAGAAAAAAGTCAGACTGCGTGAATGACCGCTCAGCAAGCGGACTCTAACCTTACGTTAAACATTAACGGCAAAGTAAGATATCAACTAAATCATTCCGCAAGTGTTTTACAATGATTTGAACATTAGATATAACATGTTGTACAATTTGATGACACTGAACTGCAATCATTGAATTTGAATACTGTATGTGTATTAAGTCACCATGGTGCATGCATTAAATCAAAAATATTACAACAAATATCCATAGAAATGCATGATCCAAGATAACAATAATATCATATTTACAGGTAGCAATGACAGTAATCCAATTCCAACCCCAAAATACTCAATAAGGGTGATAATGTGGTGAGCATAACTAATGAATGTTCCCTTTTAGAGGGCTGATAGAAGCGGCAGGCATCGGTGAGAGCAAATTCTTCTTTAAAAGATTGCATTACCTTTGCAGACTTAAAACCACACCTACACAAGTGTGTAGATACGTACACTTCGGAGACTCTACCTGACTGCACATCCTTAGTTGCAATCTCCTTTCATGTATTGGACCCGATGCAAGTGACAAACAATGGAACATTGGATTCAACCACACCTTACACACCAAACACACAGACAAGCAAATGCATGCAAACTTTCATGCGTGCGTGCGTGCATGTGCGCGCGCGTTCACACACACACACACACACACACACACAAACACACGCACACACGCACACGCACACACACACACACACACACACACAAACACACGCACACACGCACACGCACACACACAGACACACACACACACACACACACACACAGACACACACACAAACACACACACACACGCACACGCACACGCACACACACACACACACACACACAACAAGCTAGCATGCCCCTTGGGTGCCATGGAGAAGGCATCTCCATGGAAACCTCTGTACCACTTGACTGCTGGGATAAACACAAGTGACCTAGCAGCACAGAGAAGAAATAAGAAGCAGGAACCTAATAAACAATTTAATGAACAAATTACACAAACACATGAAGCATGCTGAGGCATACAATCTGCTGCCATGTGCATTGATGCTCCTGTTGCCGTGCCATGAAGGAAAAGGGGAAAAAAACAAAACAAAGCAAAAAAAAAACATCCAACTATGACGCTCCAAGTAACCCACTATTAATGACCAGAGGTGAGCAATTTAATAAATGTTGTTGGTCCATCATTCATCAGCTGCCCGGGCACCCATTGCAAAAAAAACCCCAAAACAAAACAAACAAAAAAAAAAAAACCACATAATAGTCCAACAGATGAAAAATCAAATTTGATTAAAATGGTAAATGGAGTGCACAATGTATGATTGCATCTGATAAGCTGTCTGCCCAAAGGGCTATTCAAAGACACACATACTTATTTGCCAACTTAATTTATTGAACTGTTAAGTACAGCAGGAGCACACTCCTAATGACTCCTAAAACACCCAAAAGTTTTAATTTAAAGTTTCAGGATCCAGCTCCACATTGTAGCCAAGGGTAGAATTCAACCCAAGTTGCTCGCACTCCTGCTCTCGTCTATAAATGCGAATCATCATCGTCTTCTTTGCCTCCTCCCTTTCAGTTCATTGGCGGATTACAGCTCTCTCGTGCATAACGCCACCCACTGAACAAAAAGCGCAAAGCATTTCCATATTTCCTCAATGCAGTCCACTCAACCCCACGAACAAACAGACTGCACAGGTGGGGCATGTTGAGCTGTCGTCAGCGAAGGGGGCACCTGTCAGTGACAGACAGAGGTCCGTCGGTTACTAGACCCGGTAACAATATCCTTAACTGTACTTTTGTTCCGAAAAATACTAAAACAAACATTAGGATGAACACTAACAAAATATTAACCAAACTTACATAAGTGTAGCAGTTGGATTGAGTGTGAATCAACATTAACACAGTGTAACAGGGATGACCCAATTCACGTGTCAAAATAACAATATAAACTCTATAGAGTTACTGTATATGGCACAATGGACGATGATTTATTTATTTTTTTTAATGATACGAAGAATCATTTCAAAATACGATCTCGCACAGCACGACACGGGCACAGAAAGGATAACTTCCTGCGTCCATGTAATTCGTGACTGGCTCCCAGTCATGCCTCTGGCACAAGGTACTGGAGTGAGACGAGATGGTTTGCCTAAGATTGTGAACCTTTTTGTTAGCCCAACATCTGAATTTTATTGCAAGTTTGAGACAAGAATGTTGAAGTAAAAGACTTGAGTAATTTATCCAAGACCATGAACAGAACTTTTAAGGGTGGAACTGACTATTACTTGGGTCTTTTATAATTTAGCCCCCAGGCCAGTTTAGTAGCAGGTTTGGTATCCACACCGATTAATGAGCATGATGTGTTTGCGTTACTGCAACTTTACAGTGTCCTGGGAATGTGAAGGCACTACAGACAATATCTGAATAGGAGAGAATGTGTATTTTGCCACACTCCTCCCTGTTTCCAAACACCATGGCTATTTTGTGTTCGAGGGTTCCTTTCACTCGCAGCGCAGTTGGTCAGGCTTCCACTCACAGAAAGTCACATACCTCAGCGACTAACATATGACAGCGGGCTTCCGAAAATAAATGCCTAGCCCATAACAGCTGCACAATATAGTCCACAGGAGATGCTTGACACTGCTCACACAATAAAAAGGAAAGTTCTTTTGCCCTATTAACAGGTGTCTGCCAGTGTTGTGTTTCGCCAGGAATGGGTTGCTCAAGAATGGAGTCCTTGCTCTGGAGCTCCTCTTTATTGTCTGACTCTAAACCGTCAACACTTACAACGCTGGCACACACATTTTACCTGCGCAGGAACTAAGTGCCTGTCAGAGATGAAGTACAAATACTTGATGTATGTACTGTACCATAACAATGTATAACTTCCTTCACATTTCTCTCTGCATTCAGAGTTGCATTTTGCCCATCTCATGTGCAAGAGCTGTACTAGAAGGTAAATTGGGGAAAAAAAGTGCAACTGCCTTTGGCAGCAGTTGCTGAGCTCATGGCTAACCACGTGAAGGCCTACCAAGGATAATTTTGTAATGACAGTCTTGGGAGAAGAGGTTTTATTTTGCATCCTTCTCACATTTTCCCATCATTTGAGATGCAGCACAATACAGAAAAACACAGTCAATCTTCTTTGGGGCAAATGCCGGACTGATATAAATGGCGTCCAAATATTCTACACTACTTGGTTTTATAACGTGTATCCAAATACTAGACTCACATTTTAACTTCAGTGAGAATAGCATATCCAAAAACAGTAAACCCAGCAACCTGGAAATAAGCAGGTCTGTAAAAACAAGACATTTGAAAGCCAATAATTATGGGTTTGTGCTGGGATTGGGAGACACTCATTTGTAATTCTATGCTTCGTACATGCAAATATCTGTCCAACCAGTTTTGCTGTCAGTTTTTGTTAATAGCTGAGGAGTTACAAAAGCCTGAAAAGATCCCTTTTAAGGCTATGCTGCAAAACAAAAAATTGAGAAATTCCTTTGTCAAAATCGGGCAGGCGGAGATTTGTTTGAGCATCGTCAGTATTCTTAACTATGAGATGGAAGAAATCTTACTGTTTTCTGAGGTGGAGGTTCAGTGAGCATTTTCAGTTATTTAAAAGGAAAACCTTTTCTGTAGATTGACACAGATGCACGTATGGTACACTCTGATAACGCGTGGTTTTTAAAAATGTGAATGTAAGTCTTGGTAAAATGCTTTGGACAACATATGGTGTTGATAAAGTGCTACATAAGTGTACTCCATTTACCATTATGATCAAATTGCACTTTGGATTATTGGAGTATTGTGACATGTTTTTCAGCATAAGTACAATTAATAAATCATTTTAATTGATTTGGGATTTGGTGGTGAAATGGTCAACTAAAATGCAACTGCAAATTTGGCCTACTAGTGGAGACTCTGTTTTTTAATCAATGTTTCTGTTGAAAACAGTTCAAAATGTATTTTTTATTTCATCAAAAGTATTTTAATTAGTATCATTATAATTTTCTGAATATGAAGCAAAATAGTATGACGGTAAGCTACCAACTATATTTATAATTTTACCAGTTGATAAAAAAGCAAAACTTGTGGTTAAAATGAGCCGTGAACGCCTTGCCAGTCCATTCAAGTGAATCGCCTTTCAATATATAGACATTTTGCTCATCGTTATTATCATGCACACCCTATTTCTGTAGCAACCTGTGTTTTCCATGACTGACGTTATTTTTTTGTGGATTAAAAAAAGTACTAGCCTCAAAACGTGATACAGGCTGGCACAGTCCACATCGTAGAGTCCACACAATACCTCACCCAAAGGGTGGGGGGGGGGGAGTGCCCAACTGTAATTTTTTACAACAGTCTGGGCCAAGTCAGGTTCAGAAGAATTATGCCCTGTATGGGCATAATGCGCTGAAGACACATACAGCGTCAAGTAGGCATGGATCAATGACTGGTTTGACGGGTTACAGCAGTTTTATAAAGTAAAGGTTTCAATCGTACTGTTTGTCACCAGTAAAGAGTCGTTCTTTTCTTTTTTGAGGGGACTTTTAAGCAGGGCACAATATGATTGGCTGCTTGCAGAGTTCAGGAAACAAGCTGTCTTAGTTAATTGGACGCCAGCGCCTTTTTTTCCCCTCTTTCTCAGTAAACAGAGAGTGGAGGGGTGAACAATTATGCGAGGAGGAGGAGGATCACAAGGAGGTTAGATGAAAGACACACTGTAACAAGGATGCCTTTGGAATAATGTGCATTGCCTTTAAAAAATTAAAACTAAAAAATGTGTCCATTTGTAGGTACCGGCGTATACTTACTAATTAGCCCCAAGGATGATGCTTGGCTGTCCTCAAAACACAACAAACATTTCTATCATAGCATAAAATTATTTATTGTTAAAGCACAGTTTGAGTACAATGTCAATGTATTTACTTTTTTATTTATTGATGACTGTTTTTAATTTAACTGTTATACATCCATCCATCCATCCATCCATTTTCTGAGCCGCTTTATTCTCTCAAGTGTGCTGGACCCCATCCTAGCTTTCTTCGGGCAGTAGGTGGGGGACACCCTGAACCGGTTGCCAGCCAATCGCAGGGCACACAGAGGCGAACAACCATCTGCGCTCACACTCACACCTAGGGACAATTTGGAGTGTTCAATCCGCCTGCCATGCATGTTTTAGGAATGTGGGAGGAAACCGGAGTACCCGGAGAAAAACCCACGCAGGCACGGGGAGAACATGCAAACTCCGCACAGGAAAGCCAGCTCAAACCCACGAACTCTGCACTGTGATGTTGATGCGCTAACCAGTGGAACACCGGGCCACCCTTGATAGCTGTTAGTAAGTTGAAATGAAAACACTGCACTTTACACATCCTTTTGAAACTACACTTTTCTTTTTCTCAAAAAAAGCTTAGTTTTCACTTTTAACTGAACCTACACTAATGTCATTCTCAAAATATCTGGCAAGAGTATCGAGATATGAAATTGTGTCCATTATGCCCAACCCTAATCACCAGCCAGCAGGTTGACTCGCAGTGTTCATACATTTGCTGGCAGAAACAATGATGGTATGACAGAACTCAAAATCCCACAGCCAGAAAAAAGAAGCAACGGAATCGATTTCAATAACATGTGCTTTCCTTCATGAGGTAGGTCAAAAGCTCAACAACTGTTACACCAACTTGGTGGAAACTGGAGGTACAGGTAACTGCCACTAGCAATCAGTTCAATCATGATAACAGAATAAGAATAAAACCACAGCAATCGAGTTGGTGATTCTCCAGTAGCACACAAAAAGCGGTGTTCTCTCTCTCTGACAACGGAGGCCACAGTTAAGCTATGTTTGGCTCGCCCATAAGGAAAGGGGGGCAGCTTCATCGTGCTCATGCTGGAACTCTCTGTTGTCAGGAAACTGCAAAAGGGCGTCATGCAACCAACACAATAAAGTACTGTCATGCAATTATTGACCACTACTGTACTACTTCTGTAGTAGTAATCTAAATAAATCTGGAGTATATTTTCCAGACAATTAAAAAATAACAATGGATACGTATTTTTGTGCATTTTAAAGGAAGCTCAATCAAAACGCACCAAACACCTGTTACTGGTTCGTGCGGTTCATGACTATTGACAATAACGAACATATAACTTTAACCTGTAACCAATGACAGGACGAGCCAAGTCCAACTGCAAAAAGCAACAACTTTTGATGACTTACCCGGCCGTCGATTCTAAAGGTTCGGTCATTGCGGTGAAATCCAACTTGAGGTGAAGACTGCGGCGCTCAAGAAGGGTCCAAAGCTCCGCTACTTAACCCAACCTCGCTGGATATCCACCATACTTGCACCTAAGGGATAGCACAACCAGACTGAATTAATTCACTTCCAATACAAATGACGTATGTAACGATTGTGATCTATTCCATCATAGGGTCAACAAGTATGTGTGCAAAGATGACGGCACTTGCGCGTAAACAAAGAAATTTGTTTTGGAGGCTAATTACGACACAATAGTAAAAACAATGACGTTTTTTTAAAATGAACTTATTTCATAGAAGACGCATTCACTTGCTCATTACCCATTTTCCGTACGGTGTCAAATCCACTTGATATAATCTTAACGCTCACTCAGTTGATTCAGTCGGAACCAAAACCCAAGTGTGTACAGTTGTAAACGTCCGGTTTGAGGTTTCGAAATAAAACTATTATCCCGCCTTTTTTTTTTGTTTTGTTTTGTCCATCTTAATAAATCATATAACATTATGAAGAGTATCTTAGCTTGTTACGTTAACAGCAAAAATGTAACCCAAGTTACTCGTGTCACCACTGTCACTGTGACATACCGCACAATGAAATGCCTCCTCTCTAACTTTTATTTTTACATAAGTGTCCGTTTTGGACCAACTATTCAAATCTAACTTGATCATACTGTCTCCAAACCTGCCTTCGTCAGCAGACAGCGGGTCAATAGTTGCATTCAGTTAGCGGTAGGTGGAGTTGGACAGAACGAGTTCTTATGTACTGTACAGGGATATAACCTGTAGTTCCAAATTCTGGGGCCCCTTACACACCCCCCCGCCCCCCCCCACACACACACAGATACGTACTGACTATTTTGTATTTTTTTCTTTGGTTTGTGTATCTTGTTGTTTTGAGTTCAAATATTGGACATCAAGGCAGGCCGATCAATGAGCCTCAAAGCAGGGTACAAGAAAATGTGTGTATAATTGTATAGTAGTGTACTTGTAATTTTTTTCCATAGTTTACTTTGAAAAGGCTGAAGGCCACGGTAAATAAATATGAACGGCCCTTTAAAAATCAAGTAAATGCATCAGTAGCCCCTCTATAGCAGATAGAACTTAGGCCATCAACTTCATGGTAAATGAGCTGTCACTTATTTAGAGCTTTGACACTCAAAGCGCTTCACTGTTTCTACATTTACCAACTGATGATGCAGAATCAGGAGTTCACAGGGTTCCGAATATTGCTCAAGGACACTTCAACAAAGTTACAATGGCCAGGATGGAACCCTCAACCTCTGGGTAGGGAGATGACCCCTGTATCACTGAGCCATACTGCCCCTATACTGCCATCCATCCATCCATCCATCAATTTTCTGATTTAAAAAAAAACAAAAAAACTAATAAGTATGTAGGTTAATAGTTATAGATAAATTTTCGACTTCTTCCTATTCCCTTTGAGCGTATAACCGTACTGGACCAAGATATGCATGAATCTGTTTTTATTTTTGTTTTGTTTTGTTTTGTTTTGTTTTTATGTATTTGATGTTGTGTTTATCTGTTCACTAAATTAAGCAATCAATCAATAAAAGTAGGTGAATATATATGCTTGTTGTTCTTCTTCCGTTATTTTGGTTATCTCTGGGCACCAAGTGTTCACACTTGATAAGGATCTAAATACAGGAAACAGCAGCCGCTATATGTTCCTTCTCACCATTTGTTAATAGTGAAGATATAAGGGTTTGACAGAGACCAAATAGTAGCTGGAGCCCTGACGGCCAGACATCAGTCATCATGTCAGGTGAATACACTTTTAACATTTTAGCAATTACAGTTTGGGACATATATCATTGAATGATTACAGTATATTAGCATACAGAATGCCTTTTTCTACTTGGGGATGTGTTCTTGTGTCATGGTTACAGCATAGTTTTGCATGATTAACATGGGCCATGAGTGGATTTGGCAGAACTAAAGTATTGCTTTGTATTGGTTTAAACAAACAAAAAAACTATCACTTTAAAAACACAAATTCCTTGAGATCATACTGGGACAAACAACCCCTTCAACTAATGTATGGTGATAGCTCAAGAAGGAGCAGAGTGAAATAAAGTAAAATAAAATAAAGCAAACCAATGAAACAAAACAGCATTTATGACCAAGTAATAAAACATGTCCCGAGCTTGTGAGATCCTACGGTTTCACAGTTACCGTGATCCAAATACCATGTTTTAGTCACGCAGGACCATCGGTGACTTGTTTTTTCAAGTAATACCGTGAGCTCTAGTTAAAAAAAAAAAACCCAAAGATTCCTCAGTTATCACCACATGTACATGATAGGAGGATATGTCAAACCTTGTCTCTGCAGAAGCAACTGTTACTGTGACGGCAGTGACCGAATATGATTATTCAGACTACTACGAACCTGGAATTGAAGTGGAATCTCCCTGCGACAGTAGTGGCATGATGGACTTCTGCAGAGTGTTCATCGTTGTTCTCTACTCTTTGGTGATCAAATTTGGCTTCATTGGTAATCATCAGATATACTGCTTGATGAAAGATCCGAGCATGTTCTCCTGTTCACATGTTTCCCTACATCTTTCAAGGTAATGCCCTGGTGGTGTGTGTCCTGATTAAGCATCGGAAGCAGACAACAATGACAGATGTCTGTCTATTCAACTTAGCTTTGTCTGATCTTCTCTTCGTCATCACGCTTCCATTCTACACACATTACACTCTGGTCAAGCAGTGGACCCACGGTGACTTTTTGTGCCATTTAATTGGTGGTTCCGTCAGCACCGCCTTCTTCTGCAGCATATTCTTCATGGTTGTCATGACATTGGACCGCTACATGGTGATCATGCATGATGCCAAGGTGGTCAAATACCGAACTGCGAGAACAGGGTTCATTCTCACGGTGGCTGTGTGGTTGCTGAGCTTCTTCGTCTCCCTTCCTTCTTTCATCATCACATCAGAGACAATGCAGCCTCACGGGCTGGGTTGCACTTATGAACCAAAGAATGCTGCCTGGGAGGCGTACACTGTTGCGACAAACAGCATTTTGGGACTGGTGCTTCCTCTGCTGGTGATGGTGCTGTGCTACTCCAGGATCATACCTGTCCTGATGAGGATAAGGAGTGCAAAGAAGCAACGCGTTGTCAAGCTGATAATTTCAATCATGGTTGTCTTCTTCCTCTTATGGACACCATATAACATTTTACTTTTTCTCAAATTTTTGCATTCTGAATGGAATTTCCTAAATGACTGTGACTCTTTGAAAAATTTAAAACTGTCACTATCAGTCACTGAGACAATTGCGTTCACTCACTGCTGCGTGAATCCCATCATATATGCCTTTGTTGGACAGAAGTTTATGAGGCGTGTCTTGCAGCTGATTAAATGTGTGCCTGGAATTTCGATCTCCCGCAGGCGTTCATCAGGCTACTCTTCCCGGAAGAGTTCTGTCATGTCCAAGTCCTCTGAGAGCATGTTTATCATGTAGCTTTAATTACATCCATCAGTCTGTCTGTCTGCCCGCCCTCATCTCTCCATCGATCTATCTATCTATTCATCTGTACATCCATCCGTCCTTTCTTCCTTCCCTCCTTCCAATTCATCCATTCAGCCAGCCCAGTGTCAAAATGTTTGGTCTCAGTCACAGGTTGAGGGTCCTCAAACTATGACCCAAAATATACAGCCCAAAACTTTTCTGTGGAAGACGCTGAATTTGAAGTCTGGATAGACAGCCTTCAAAGCTGAGACAGGAGTGGATCAAAAGTCATCATTAACAAGTGCAGAACTTGCGTTTTGTTGGGAGTTTAACTGCAGGGACTGCTTCAAAAGGTTGTGAAAAAAAAAACCTAAAGAATTGGTGACGTTTTTATTCAGGTCAAGTGATTTTTTTTTTTTTAAGTACCATAATTGATAAAAGTAATGAATTTAGTTTCATTATAATTTTAGTACATTTTGATTTATACTACTATCCTTGAACATCCTACTCTTGGCCCCCCAGTGTCATATCTCAAGCAGACAGCCTCGAACTTGGGTTTTGAATTGGACAGTGATTTTAAATTCAACCGACTAGTCAGTGCTGTTGTTAAATCCAGCTTCTTTCATTTTAGGCAACTGGCTAAAGTCCTTACCTTCCTTCCTTTCACAGCAGCACTTAGAAACAGTAATCCATTCCGATAATACACTTTATTTTGGAATTAGCCAATCTTCCTTCAAGCGCTTCCAGTCAATCCAAAATGCTGCTGCTCATCCCTTGACTGGCACTCATAAGTAGGAGCACAGAACAACTACTCGGGCGCCCCTTCACTGGCTCCCTCAACATTTTAGAGTTCTTTTTAAGATTCCATTATTTTTTTTCAAATCTTTCAGTGGTCTCACCCCACCATACCTCTCTGAGCTCCTCTACTTCAACGCACCTGCCCGTTGCCTGAGGTCTGCGGACCACATGCCACTAGAGGTACCAAGGACGGAGCGAAGGCTCAGAGAAGATCAAGCCTTTGCTGTTGCTGGTCCTTCCCTCTGGAATGACCTTCTGTGTTATGTTAGGCAAGCCCCCTCCCTGTCCATTTTTAAAATTCATTTGAAGACACATCTTTATTCTTTGGCTTTCGACCCAATATGAGACTGGCACCGTTCTATTGTTTGTGGGTGTCTACTGTATATATAAATTAGTGTCATTGATTTGTGTTTTCATTTACTGTTTTCACTTTCTTCTGTTGTATTATTGCTATTGTATGGTATATGTCAGCTGCAGCTGTCGTGAAATGCGCTGTACAAATAAAGTTGTATTGGATTGTATTGTATTATAATTGTCAGGTTTTTTTCAGTGACCATTATGGATTGTTTTTTTTTTCTTTTGCAGAAAAACCTTACCAACAATTGAGCCTATGCATGTTGTTTGATTAATTTGTCAAATGTGTTTTCAATCGCATAAACTTCTATATGTATACATTAATCATGAATAGTTTGTTATCAGATCATTTGTTGTACTATTGTAGTTTTCCAAAGAACTGGGTTCATATTAAATGTTTTGCCTCCACGCATGAAGAGTTTGACATTTTTTTTTGAAGCACCGATATTATCAATATCAATAGTATTATGTGCATCATAACACCTTCAATACAGAATTCTTCAACGTGATGTGAAAAATGTGTGTAATTCATTGTATTTTATTGAAGAGTAAATGTTACAAACTATGTAGTGCTCTCTCAAGATATCTGAACATTTAAGACAAATGAAGCAAAACGACAGGATTCTGGCAAAAGCTGTGGAATGGTTCACATAGCTGACTTTCACAAAGCTAGTTTGAAATTCACTAGTCACAATTATGCTGTGATTGACAGGTGCTTAACCCAAGACGTCCAGTCAAGTCAACTTTATTTGCATCACCCTTTCTCACAAAAAAAATCTGAGGGTTTTACAAGCTCACATTGGAAAAATATTAGTGGTATATCTTGATCTGAACCCCCTCAACCATGCAAGCAAAACTCAAAAAACCCACATTTCATTTTTAATTTAATGTGATGTAATGGGGCAGATGTTCTGAATTCAAATCCAGGCTCCAGCCTACTTTTGTGGAGTTTGCATTTTCTCCCTGTGCCTGTGTGGGTTGAACTTCAGTTTCCTCTCACATTTCCACAAAATGCTTGGCAGGTTAATTGGATAATCTAAATCACAGGTGTCAAAATCAAGGCCCGGGGGCCAGATCTGGCCTGCCACATCATTTTTTGTGACCCGCGAAAGCAAATCAAGCATGTTCCATGATGCTTGCTAAAGTTTGAACCAAAACTTCAAATTGTCATATGTAATCCACAATAACAGTTATTATTCTTGACTTCTGATTTTAAAACTAGTTATCCATGCATTTGTTGCGCTCTGTGTATATAATATGTGGAGGTGATTAAACATTTATAATAGTTTCCCAAAATTCATAACGGCCCTCCAAGTCAAACTGTGTCCAAGTCAAACACAATGTGGCCTGTGACAAAAAATGAGTTAGACACCTCTGATCTAAATAGTCGTGAGGTTTGGATGTGAGCGTGAATTGCCTCTCAGCTAGAGTCAGCTGGGATCGCCTCAGACCCCAGTGAGGAGAAGCGATACACCTACAGTATGATATACCTTTTTTTGATGCTACTGTATGGTGGTCATGGTGGTGATACTTGGACAGGAAAGTATTTTTCAGATGATACATGTTAAAAACAGTTTGGAAAGCACTGATTTACGTTACTTTACATTTCACAAGAAAAACATTTGCTAATGGATTTTGGCTGAGGCACACACTCCTTTAACTTAACTGTGTGCACACGAAGGCAAACAAACAACAATGATTCTTCCATATATCACAACAAAACAAGAATTTAAAAGAACGAATTCACTTCAGAAGAGTAAATGTTGAAAACAGATTATTACAAGCGACCACCAAAAATCCATAGATACTGTATATAAAAAAAGTGTGTGGGTGTTTCCTGTTTCTGAAAGAAAAATGGGTAAGTGTAAAACACTGATAATAGGCTTCTGATTTGCTTTCTTTCGTCATGTTTGACACACAAAGGGACATTTCTTAGAAAACCACACATTACCTCTGTGCAGCAGTCGGAAACAACACCTTCACTTGGCTTTTACCAGAAAACAGCTTTGCCACAGGATTTGACTCGAAACAGCTAGAAAGGCACAATAACAGGACATCCAAATCTGACACGGCACAGAGGAGACGACAAGGAGCACCGATTTCATCAGAGAATGTGGTAATTTACTTTTTACTTTGATTAAAACCTGAAAGACTGTGTGTGTGTGTGTGTGTGTGTGTGTGTGTGTGTGTGTGTGTGTGTGTGTGTGTGTGTGTGTGTGTGTGTGTGTGCGCGCGCGCGTGTGTTTAACAATATTTGCAACAGGAAGTGGGGGTCGAATGGGTGTCACTTTTGTGGCTGAGGGGCATTTAAAGTGAATTACAAAAACAAAGACCACGTGAGTGTAGATTTGTAAATGCACAAGTGGTTTACCGCTACATTCAGATGTCGGTTCTGCATGTCAAATCAAGCAGACCATATCAAAGTGTATATCAACAGTTCATCAGAAGATAATCGACAGTGAATGGAAAGAATGTTACTCCAGTTATTTCAAGTTTTACAGACTCTGCCTCTTTGCAAAAGTCTCTCAGTGATGACTCACATCATAATCATCATGAAAGTCAATTGTAAAGAGCAGGAAAGTACAGCTTGAGCTGTGAATTTACTCAGAATACATTTACACACATTTAAGGCAGAAATCGCGTAATGCAAAAGACAAAAACCCCCCAACAATTTTAAAAAATACAAATTGAATTCATTATTTATCTACTCAATGTATAATTCTGGGCTTCACAAAAGCATGAGGACTTGCACAGAAAATGCAGGCGTTGCCTTTTTAACATTTAGTATCGCAAAGGCCGTTTCACGTTTGTTATTCTTCATATGAATTTACAATTTTGAAAAATAATGTATGTGACGACTTTATCGAACATGTACATGGAATAAATATTATCCGAAAAATAGGTCATGGTAGGAGACAGAAAAGGTTCAGTTCAGGGATATCCTTCATAAAATGATCTCTCCAGGATAGAATAAGTTACTTCACAAGAAAAATAGTACAAAGAACATTGTTTAAAAAGGAGTGATTGAACTTCCGTTGTTGACTTCTTTAATTTTTGATCATTTGGGTGTATTTTAAGTTGACTCACATTGTTTTTGAATCTCCAAAAATAGAGATTATTTTGCTGTCCTCAAATGAAGTCCTTTCTTGTTTTGTGTCTGCTTGCACAGATTTATGGATGCAACAAAGAACGAGACATTTATTTACACGGACATGTATGATTATGAATATGATGGTCCAAATTCCTCGCGGTTTGGGGAAGAGAGTCCACAGATATCGAAAGGATTCATGGCCCTGCGGATTGTCCTTTGCATGCTGTTTTTTCTTGGTTTGCTTGGTATGTTCAGAAACTGTAACACACCTTTGCTGTTAAAGTTCTCAATAGTTTTTCAAAAAGCAACTCAGAAACATGCCGAGAAATGTGTTGTCTGATAGGCAACACCACTGTGCTCTGGATTCTCCACCGCTACATCAAGATGAAGACATTGACTGACATTTGTCTGCTCAACTTGGCTCTCTCAGACCTTACTCTGGCTTTGTCCCTCATCCTGTGGGCCTACAATTCTCAGAATCTTGCCGTATGCAAAATCACGACGGGAGTCTATCAGGTGAGAACTCATTCCGGTACAGAAACTGATTACCTTTGCAAGCATCTGCTTTTACTTCGGAAAGCAATGATCAGCATTTTTATTCGAATTTTTTGTCATGTTAGGGACCAAACTAGTAACTGTATCATAATCAATTTGAAATAATGCACTGTTTGTAATAAAGAGATGTTTTTCCAATTATAAATAAAAAAAAATCACAGATGAATCAATTCTTAAAATAATCATTAGTAGCATTCTGACACTTGCAGAAGATGCAAACTTCTCGTTAGCACAAACAATCGGAGGGCAAGAATGAAGTTTGCAAAAAATTGAGAGATGAACCAAAAATACAGTACCGGTATACTATGACACGCTGGTGAGGCAAACATTGACCTTTCCCAATGTGAAAGGCTAATGTTAGGACGAAGTAATGATCTGTCATGAGCCCCTAAAAATATTCTGTAAAAAAAAAATGTGACTGTGGCTTGGATGTGCAAGATGCAAGATGGAACCCAACTATTCAAGGACATACCTGACTATGCAGCAAGATAATGAACCCAGAGAGCACAATGCTAAAACAAGAAACAGAATTGTGTGTATTTGCTACTATTGAGCTGTCCCTAAGTGATACATGTAGACTACTCATGGGGCCACACTAACTTCATATGCATTTTGTGTCAACCTCTTCTCCCCTGAACAGTTGGGATTTTACAGTGGGACTTTGTTTGTGACCTTGATGAGTGTGGACCGCTACCTGGCCATCGTCCACGCTGTGGCAACCATGCAAGCCAGGACCCTTGGCTATGGCTTGTCTGCCAGCATCGCTATCTGGGTTGTATCCCTCGCAATGGCAACTCCACAGGTGATATTTTCCTCTGTTGAAATGAGTCACAACAACTCCTTGAGTTGCCAGCCGGTTTATCCAGAGGAAAGTCAGCAGTTTTGGAAAATGCTCCGAAACTTCAGTGAGAACACAGTGAGTCTTTTCCTGTGTCTACCTATCCAGATTTTTTGTTATGTGAAGATCCTGCTTGTGCTGTCCAAGACGAGGAACTCAAACAAGGGTCGAGCTGTGAAATTGATATTCATCATCGTCTGTGTGTTTGTCGTGTGCTGGGTCCCCTACAATGCTGTAGTTTTCCTTCAGACACTGCAACTGTTTGAAATGTTCAACACCTACAAAGCATCAACTACAATCAGATTGGCTATGACTTGGTCTGAGGTCATTGCACTGTCACACTGCTGTGTAAATCCAGTCATTTATGCACTCGTCGGGGAGAAATTTCGGAAGCCTTTGGGGAATTTGTTCTCCAGATACTGGTACAAGAGCAGAGGCTCTGTCAGTCAGCGAGACAACTCTGAGAAAGAAACTTCCAACACACATCTAAGATCCCATTAGGAAACTAGAGACTTGGAATCGGTAGAACGGAGATTAGCTGATTCAGAAGAGTGTAACATAGTGTGCAATTAATCGTTGATTTAAAACTGCCCCTTTCTAACTGCACACGCCTACAAATATACCAAAAGAAAGAAAATTCTACCCACGCACACAGTAAGACTGCACTTTGTATGAAAATTGCACTGGGCACAAAAATAGGTGTTACTGTCTTGAAATAAGGCATCAGTTGGCCAGCCTCAGTCATTTAGCACAGTGCGCTGTTAAGTTGGTAACTTGCTTCGGAGCGATTAGTCTCAACATGGTCTCCTAATCTTCAGAAAGTCCCCAGTTAAATACAGCATTTCTGTTCTTGGGGTCATGGAGTAGTGGTCTTAACTATTATTCATCATTTGTAGCGATTAAAAGTACTCATTCGACTTCATGTCTAAATTGGCTTCATCCTTGCCTGTTTTTTTAATTTGTTGTTCAGTATGTACATCCAACCAACTGTTTTTCCTTCTTTTAGTCAACAATAAAAATCCTATTCCTTTTTTTTTGATCCCTTGATGTAACATATTATTAACCTTAGTTGACCATTGTTTGATTTGCACATTATAACAATTAATACGGCAACATTCCCACATTACATATCAAATAGCCATTTGCATTTGCTAATCAACTTCTCCCTGCTATGACAATGAAGATGTATCAGAATATGCATATGACATTTTTTTTTACACCGTATTATAAAGGCATGGTAGACTGCTTAAACCTATCACCTGTCAGTTCAGTCATCGTGTTTTGTTTATGGAACCCGGTCACCCTGTAGAAAGTGTGAATGTGAGTATGAAGGGTTGTTCATTCGATTTGGCTTCTGACTGCGAGAGTCAAGTCAGGGCAAACTCTCCACATCTTCTTAAACAAACTGTGGGTGCAACAAACTGTGGGTGCAACATACTTTGTATGCGGAATTTCCCAGATTGTGTATAGGTTGGTGCTCAAATTGAGTTGAAGTGGTTAACATCATGAGTCTTTCGTTTGTCCTCTCATTTTTAGTTTCTTTTATTGTTTGATTTTACCCTATTAAATCCTCATAAATTCCTGTTCCCCCCCATAGATAGTTTTCTTTGTGACATACTTCTTCCAATTCCCATGTAGATTTCGGGAATAAATGTGCACATCATAAGAACTGTATTGCGTCCTGTGTGTGTGTTTGAATCCAAGTTATTCACATCTAATCTTCAAAATCAAACTCAAGGCTCACCAAGACTGATTTAATCAGGTTTTTCATCTGTTTAACCTTTTATTCATAGAACAGTCATGGTGCCCCAACAACAGGTGCAGCAAGTCTCGGCAAGCAAGTGTCACCACAACACTTGTGAAAATGCCACAAAGCGTCGCGCGGCGCTACTCGAGTATCGAGCAGTGTGCACTTGCTGCAACAGCTTGTATTTTTTTTTTCATGTCGCAACCACTGACTTGTGGCTCTATATATTTGAAAGCATCTCCAGGAAGTATTGCAATAAAAAAAAGATAGCCCCCTCATTTCTCAAGAACAATATAGCTGGCAACCACAGTTAGCAGCTATTTGGGGGTGACCATTCACTGACCAATGTTATCAATCTAGGATTACCAGCCACATCTCATCTTCATACCACTGGAAGGTAACGTTTGATTCTTTTTTGTTTTTTCATAATATATGAATTATCAGCAGGTCAACATACCAAACACCACTGTACAGCTGAAAAACACAGATGGTATTCTGCACATACAATGCAAAGACGATCGGTTTGAACAAATATTTTATCTAATTTCATCTATCTTCCCTGCCTATTTTATTAAAAAATAAATGAGTTATCTGTACTACAAATACATTAGCGTCACTGTATTAAATATTACTATTTAATTCCAAGCTTCTCTTTATGCTATTTTTTTAAAACATTTTTTTCATTGAAAATTAAATTTTAATAAGACAGATGTTTTATATAACTCCAGAAAGCAAGTTTTGATTTTATATTTTACAGCAACCATGGCCAAACTCCTTCCAGTGGAATTAACAAGGTAAGAAAAGTGCAGAAATAAAATGTTGTTCTGATGACACTCTTTACAAGTCTTTGAATCAACTTAGTTGTTGGACTAAAATGATATCCTTCAGACTTGTACTGTACCTTTAAACATGTCAGTATTGTCAGTTAGTAGGAAAGTGTGCACTTTTGGGGAATTTCTAACAAACACATACCATGCTTTGATGGATGAAATATCCATCCATCCATCCATTTTCCACCGCTTAGCCGGGGTCGGGTCGTGGGGGCAGCAGCTTTAGGAGGGAAGCCCAGACTTCCCTCTCCCCAGCCACTTCTTCGAGCGCTTCCCGGCGGATGAAATATTCCATTAGGAATTTACGTGTGTTGGTTTCGAGTTGATGATTATATTAATTCAAAATACCAAATGATCACTCTTCGTTTCGGGTATGGGGTTTGGACTAATAAGGACTCACATTCAGGGAAACAAGGCAGGAGTGCCCTCAAAAAGTATCAAATTTGAAACACCTCAAAATTCCCAAAAACAGATTCCCAGTAACTAACGAACAATGACACGGTGATATGACGACTGACAGGAACAAACAATGATCTAACAAGGAGTGAAATAAACCAGGGAACTAAATACAATCAAACTGATGAGACAACGAGGAACACCTGGACAAAAGATGAGCCGCTGAGGAAGCTGAATGGTCGACATAAGGGACCAGGTTGACCCGCACAGTGGGAAAAAAAAAAAAACCCAAAACAACGAGCAAGACAGGACACAATTCACAATAAAACGAGACATAAAACATGCAACAAAACGAAATGCATTAACAACAACAATAAGTTCAAGTACAGATCATGACACCCTTGTGTTTTTTTTACTGTGACAGTGAGCAATATTTAATCAACCAACGACAAATTATGAAAGTGAAACAGTGTACATGTATTGCAAACTAAATATGACCACTTAAGAAGCCAAATGTACAACTATCTGTTTTAAAATAATCTGTAGGCCAAAACTTTAAAATATTAGGCAGATTCATGTTGTAGTAAATTGTCACTGATGGAGTTAGTGGTACATACGCCAGACTATTATGTGGGCAGCATAGGATCAGTTGCCACTCAGTGATGGTGTGAATGTGGGAGTGAGTGGTCGTTTGTCTCTATATGTGCCCTGCGACTGACTGGCGATCGATTCAGGGTGAGATCTGCCTTCCTCCCGAAGTCAGCTAGGATAGGCTCCAGCAACTGTTCAGGATAAGCGGTGTTGAAAATGGATGGATGGATGCTGTAGTTAAGGGCAGTATAAGTGCAGTTGAGCCAAGCCTGCCCTCTCGTAGTGGACCCTCGCTATTTTGTGAAAAGCTGTCTATAATTTGATGCCCAATGAAATGCATTTTTTTTGGACACCTAAAAGAAACTCTTCAAAAAATGCTGATAAACATCCCATATACATTTTCCACGGAAAATTGAGGTTTGCAAATAAGTATGCCGGGGTCCACTCTGGTAGAGAAAAGATGTTCATAGTCTCCCCCCAACACAAACAGAAAAAGTTGAAAATTAATCAAAGGGCCACTCAGACAGGGCTGCCAGTCGACCATCCTTGAGCGAGATTCTACATTAGCACATTCAGTGACGAGGTAAATATTTAGAGTAATATGTGTTAATATTCGTCATTTTGCTTCCTTTAGACCTACTTCAACAGCCATTGGCGAAAACACGACATTGGATTACGCGGACTACAGTTTTTTGCCTGATGGCGACTTTGGGACGTGTGTTTACGACAGACACGGAGCATCTTTCATTCCACCTGTCTACTGTATATTCTTCCTCATGGGCCTTCTGGGGAACTCTCTGGTTGTCTGGGTCCTTGTCTGTGGAGTGCGGTTTTGCAACATGACGGACGTGTGCCTCCTGAATTTGGCCATCGCTGACCTCTTGCTGGTCTGCTCCCTTCCCTTCCTGGCCTACCAAGCGAGGGACCAGTGGATTTTTGGGGACACCCTGTGCAAAGTGTTCCTGGGGATTTACCACATAGTTTTCTATGGCAGCATTTTTTTCATCGTGGTAATGAGCATCGACAGGTATTTGGCAATCGTGCACGCAATTTACACCATGAGGGCACGCACTCGCTCCCTCGGTATTATTGTCGCAGTTATCACTTGGGTCGCTGGGTTTTTGGCCTCTTTTCCTGAAGTCATCTACCTAAAAGAGATGCCTGGCCGCATGAACTCCACCTTCTGCTACCCTGTGTATCCCACACCCACCTTGGACAATGCCGACATTCACTTCTGGCGGGTTTTTGGCATCTTGAAAATGAACATTTTAGGCTTAATCATTCCCATGTTCATCATGGCTTTTTGCTACTCGCAAATCATCAGGCGTCTGCTTTCCAGCCAGTCCTCGAAAAGACAGACCATCCTGTTGGTGGTCATTGTGGTGGCCGTCTTCTTCATATGCTGGGTGCCCTACAATGTGGCGTCATTGTTCAGAGCCCTGGAGATGTTGCAAGTCTACACAGAGTGCAACAGCAGCAAAGTCATCAGATTGACTCTACAAATCACGGAGGTCTTCGCTTACCTCCACAGCTGCCTCAACCCCGTGTTGTATGTGTTTGTGGGGCAGAAGTTCCGAAGGAACCTGCTCAGGTTGATCCACAGGACTCCATGTGGTCTGTGCCAGCTTGTGAAGGTCTTCACACGTCAGCAACAGATCAGCAGGTCCAACATCTCCCAAACCACCAGCCTGGATGAGAGGAGCACTGCTGTGTGAATCGGGCCGTCCTTCAATTTTGGAACATTTCTCTTCTTTTACCTGTATTATTCGGTTCGACGTGTTCAACCAGCAGATTTTCATCCTACAGAGTTGTACGTTTTTAAGTTTATACCCAACCAGCCTTGAGGACCACCTCCACAAAATAATGAAACTTAATACAAGGACTGAATCATGTATGAACACGCACGTGAATACCTTTTGTCACAATTGGGCATCATCAAAGTTTTTATTTTAAAGATTGTTTCATGTAGTTAGTAGCTCCTGTAATGGATTTAGATTATGCTAATGATGCACAAGTATTATTGAAGTAGCCAGCAAGCATTCAATTTTGTTTTGCAAAAAGTGTCTTTATAATGGAATAGTTTTTGTCTAATTTGCTTGATGAAGCTGAATATTTCACAAGGGTAACATTTGTGCAATCCTCAGCCATGACAGGAAATTGCTGCAGTGAAACACTCATACATACAAACCCAATTTCAATGTGCAAGTCATGGTAAAATTCGCCGCAGCATCCAGCTGCATGAATTGTGCACCAAAACGTGTCATTGCACCTTTGTCTGCATCTGCTGCTTTACGCAAACAAAGGAAACCGCAGCAGAAAGAGAAAAAAAAATATTTTATGCAAGTATATTTCTTTTGCATCACTTACTGCAACGCAGACCTGCAAGTTAAGTTTTGTATCTGTGCAGAAAGACAGTCACAAGCTCAGGCATATTCCTGGCAGGCCAAGAGGTGTGGTCCATACCGAACCAAAGTTATTGTAATGAATGAAAACTAACAAAATAACTCAAGCTAAAGTTGAAAACAAAATGAAGTAAAAACAAAAATACTTAAAAATGAAAAAGCAACTGAAGCTACATCATACTATCCATAATTATTGCACAAATGTCCGATGTTTTTGTCAATGTCAACTAATATACGCAAGCTTTTGAGTTTCCTTTTGGTGTTGCTGTACATCCCGAGATACAGAAGAAAGAAGGTCAAACAGTTGTTTGAGAATTGTCGTTTACTTTACATACTTGGTGACCCATTTTAAAATCTTTCCCCCGAAAAATACTCCATACATGTAGAAATAAAGTAAAACTAAGCAATAAAAAAACCCCAAAAAAACCCCAACTTGCTCTTAAAAAATACTTAAAACTGTCTGAATTTCAAAACAAAAAATAACTACAATGAAAAATCCCAAACTATTTGAACCCCTTACTGGACTGGTAACCAGTCAGTCACAGAGCACGTGTAGACAACACGACCATTCACTTACATTCATACATCCACTGTGGCGTGTGAGTGCTAACCGGATTACCTGGAGAGAACCAATACAATAAGGGTCAGAACGAAAGGCAAGATTTCAAACCCAGAACATCTTGAATGTGAGACAGAAGTGCTGTCACCACAGGAAAAATGGAAGCACAAGACACAATTTCTCAAAATGAGAACTTGAAATTTTCAACGGGATGTCACAAAATCCTGTTGAAAACAAATACAGTATAGTGTTCTACAAATACAATTTACCAACAACAATAGGTATTAAGGGTGTATACAAACATACTATGTGTGTGTGTGTGTGTGTGTGTGTGTATATATATATATATAAAGCTAGTATTGTTACAGACTATAGTACTACTTTGTATATTGTGAAAGGGTAAGGAAGATGTAGGAGTAAAAAAAATCTACTTCCTACTCTTTTTAGAATATATACAATCTAATTTTATTCAAAATTCTATTTTGTTAGTTTAATTTTCTGTGTTTAGTTTTTATTTTAACATATTCAAATAAAAAAGTCCTTCATTCATTAGAATCAAACTTTCATTAAAAAAACAACAACACACTTTTGAAATGTTTTGTTTTTCAATAACTTATGCACTTTTATTGCTGCTGCCTTTTTGTGTGAAATCCCACACCTGTTGTGTTTGTGTTGGCTTTACTTTTGCAAAAAGTGTCTTTATAATGGAATAGTTTTTGTCTAATTTGCTTGATGAAGCTGAATATTTCACAAGGGTAACATTTGTGCAATCCTCAGCCATGACAGGAAATTGCTGCAGTGAAACACTCATACATACAAACCCAATTTCAATGTGCAAGTCATGGTAAAATTCGCCGCAGCATCCAGCTGCATGAATTGTGCACCAAAACGTGTCATTGCACCTTTGTCTGCATCTGCTGCTTTACGCAAACAAAGGAAACCGCAGCAGAAAGAGAAAAAAAAATATTTTATGCAAGTATATTTCTTTTGCATCACTTACTGCAACGCAGACCTGCAAGTTAAGTTTTGTATCTGTGCAGAAAGACAGTCACAAGCTCAGGCATATTCCTGGCAGGCCAAGAGGTGTGGTCCATACCGAACCAAAGTTATTGTAATGAATGAAAACTAACAAAATAACTCAAGCTAAAGTTGAAAACAAAATGAAGTAAAAACAAAAATACTTAAAAATGAAAAAGCAACTGAAGCTACATCATACTATCCATAATTATTGCACAAATGTCCGATGTTTTTGTCAATGTCAACTAATATACGCAAGCTTTTGAGTTTCCTTTTGGTGTTGCTGTACATCCCGAGATACAGAAGAAAGAAGGTCAAACAGTTGTTTGAGAATTGTCGTTTACTTTACATACTTGGTGACCCATTTTAAAATCTTTCCCCCGAAAAATACTCCATACATGTAGAAATAAAGTAAAACTAAGCAATAAAAAAACCCCAAAAAAACCCCAACTTGCTCTTAAAAAATACTTAAAACTGTCTGAATTTCAAAACAAAAAATAACTACAATGAAAAATCCCAAACTATTTGAACCCCTTACTGGACTGGTAACCAGTCAGTCACAGAGCACGTGTAGACAACACGACCATTCACTTACATTCATACATCCACTGTGGCGTGTGAGTGCTAACCGGATTACCTGGAGAGAACCAATACAATAAGGGTCAGAACGAAAGGCAAGATTTCAAACCCAGAACATCTTGAATGTGAGACAGAAGTGCTGTCACCACAGGAAAAATGGAAGCACAAGACACAATTTCTCAAAATGAGAACTTGAAATTTTCAACGGGATGTCACAAAATCCTGTTGAAAACAAATACAGTATAGTGTTCTACAAATACAATTTACCAACAACAATAGGTATTAAGGGTGTATACAAACATACTATGTGTGTGTGTGTGTGTGTGTGTGTGTATATATATATATATAAAGCTAGTATTGTTACAGACTATAGTACTACTTTGTATATTGTGAAAGGGTAAGGAAGATGTAGGAGTAAAAAAAATCTACTTCCTACTCTTTTTAGAATATATACAATCTAATTTTATTCAAAATTCTATTTTGTTAGTTTAATTTTCTGTGTTTAGTTTTTATTTTAACATATTCAAATAAAAAAGTCCTTCATTCATTAGAATCAAACTTTCATTAAAAAAACAACAACACACTTTTGAAATGTTTTGTTTTTCAATAACTTATGCACTTTTATTGCTGCTGCCTTTTTGTGTGAAATCCCACACCTGTTGTGTTTGTGTTGGCTTTACTTACCTATGTGTTTGTCACAAACACACAGGTAAGTAAAGCCGGACACAAACTTTGTGTCTGGTCTTTGCACTGAGGGATTTATCAAAAGAGACAACCGTTGCTCTTCAAACGTTTAATGGCAAAATAACACCACAAACTAAAATATTTACACTTACATGTAACATGTAAACACAGTCTTCTGTACAGAGGAATATACATGCAAAAGTAAAAATGAAGTCATACAACATTCAATTTGACATTGCCGCAGTCAGTGTTGTTAGTGTATATCAAATATGAAACAGTCACTCTCGAAGGTTTACATCCTGGCTGGAGGCAAAATGCTTTCCGCCCCTCTCTGTACATCTTTACATCACAAGCAAGAGGCGGATGAGGGGCTCACAAAGGCTTTTAATTACTTACAACGTATTTTGCTGAATAGCGGCTTTTACATCATGAGCTCAACATATTTTGGGAGGGAAACCCAGACGCACAAAGACAAATAAAAATGACATGAAAACATTTCAGATTAGTTGACATAACCCTTCCAATGAAATTAGAAAGTGTTTCCGCTGTATCCACCACGTTTTAGCAAGCACCCTCGACAGCTAAATAAACAAGAGGACATAACACAAAAGGAAATGTCTCCTAAGTGCATGAGGCACCCCATGCTAAACTCATGCTAGATTGGTCAAGGATACGAACATAAAGCAAGCAAATGAAGTCCCGCCTTAACGCAGCAATGAAATCATCAAACATTCTCAGGAAATAATAAATAAAATGTCATGAATGTAAACTCTTAAATATCTGGGTTCACTGTGCTCTCTATAAGTTAACACGAAAAATTATAACACAGGAAAAAAAATACAAAACTTTGGTATTATTATGGAAACAAACAATGACAAAAGAAATGCATAAGTGCCCGATTCTCTTTTTAATAGATACACATTTTACATTGTTGCCAAAGCTATCATTCAGCTGGGGTTTAGCAGATATTAGTACTGAACTTAAAACAAAGAGTTAACACAAAACTGACGTCTATTGCGGTACCAGTTACGTACATGCCTTTATTTCCTTGAAAGACTACAATTACAAAACAAATTGTCATAAATAGTTGCTCAAATATTCAAGCTGCAACATTGCACATGGAAACCGCCATAAAATGAGTGCATTTTTCTAATTTAGTGCATCATCTCTTTGTCACTAATATGCAGTAAATGAAATACGTCTTTGTTCAGTGGCAAAAAGACTGTTCAAAAATGACAAATGAAAAAGCGAGAAGAATTTATTTACAAGTAAGGCGGGGATCTAAGAAGCTTTGTCTTGAAAATTTCATTCATTGAGCTTGTGCTGAAAAGGACTACGGCTTTGAGGCCGAAGACAAGCAAGAGGACAGCACGCGCTATTGCACTCAAAGTAACCGCAGTGGAAAACTTGGTCTTGTCTTCCCCTTGCTGTGACAACAAGCCGGCCTCTCTGATGGACGCCACGCGGCTTGCACATTTTTCTGCTTTTCCCTTCAACTTATATTAGACCTACGTTTGTTTTTCCTCAAAAGTCACTAGCATGTTTGTTCCCTAACTGTACACGGGTTTGCTTACAAAAAGTAATCTCTTTTTACAAAGGAAAAGGCTTCTTCCGTGGTCAATCAAAAGCAGCCTGACACACACTGACTATACAGTATTCTATTTCCTTTATGTAACACTATATGACTCGCAAGAAATGGACAACTTGACTTTGTGCCCGCTAAGTTGGCATTGGAAGTCTTTCACGGATTCCAACAATTTCTTGTGCAGGCATAAACGGGTTATGCCGAGGTTAGGGGAGAAGGGGCGGAGTCAATGGATTGATCAGCAGATGTCATTCAGTCAGTCAGTCAGCAGCAGCAGCAGGACACGCGTTGATCAGTGAGGGAACATAGCATCAGTGTGGAAGTGTGGATCATGAAAAAGCACACGTCTGTACGCCAAACATTCCACCAGAGTCGGGTGAAGAACAGCAACCCGATTGGGAGGGCACATCTCTCGGCCCGGGTACTTCCGGTTACACGTGGTTAAGCAGGCGGCTGTGGAGAAACGCTTTCAACGTCCCGATGGGCCGTACATCATTCTGGTGTTTCCGTCTATCAATGAACGAAATGAGCCGGGACGTGTCCAGATGTGAGGCGGGATTCTGGCACGGCGGAAGCGGCATGCGATTTGAGGCGGCGTACCCGGCGTCCCTATTCGCGACGCCTGGAAGGCGCAGCCACGGCTCCCGCAGGCAGGCGCTCGCCGAGGGCCGTTGCTCGGGCTCCCCCTGCAGCAGCAGGCAAACAAAGTCGCGGGCTGCTGCGCTCACGCCTTCAAAGTAGTCGTCAGGGAAGCTAAAATCCAGGCGGCAGATGTTCAAACACGTCTCCTCGAGACTCTCGTCCAGGAAAGGCGACGCGCCGCTGAGCACGACGTAGGTCAACACACCTGCAAGACACATTTTTTTTCTCAAAATATGACATTGGACAATATGTTAAGAGGCTAATGATATATAACTTGTCGGTGTTGAATATTTATTAACTGTATGTGTATGGGGCGGCCCGGTGGTCCAGTGGTTAGCGCGTCGACCTCACAGTGCAGAC